GCTTTGTCTGAAACCATTTCTGGGTGCTTTTTGATGTGTGATTTGGGTCACTGTCCTGCTGTAAGACCCATGACCTCTGACAGAGGTCCAACTTTCTGACACTGGGCCCTACATTGCACCCCAGAATTCTTTGGTAGTCTTCAGATTTCATAATGCCATGCACACAGTGAAGACATCAAGTGCCTGAAGCAGCAAAGCAACCCCAAAACATCAGTGAACCTCCTCCATGTTTGACTGCAGGGACTGTATTGTTTTATTTAAAGGCCTCATTTCTTTTTCTGAAAACAGTAGAGTGATGGGCTTTACCAAAAAGCTGCCATTTTGTTTCATCTGTCCACTGCACATTCACCCAAAAGCATTTTGGCTTCCTCAGGTACGTTTTGGCAAACTCCAATCTGGCTTTTTTTATGTTTCTGTGTCAGCAGTGGGGTCCTCCTGGGTCTCCTACCATAGCATCTCTTTTCATTCAGATGGTGACGTATAGTGCGAGCTGACACAGTTGTACCCTGTGCCTGAAGGTCAGCTTGAATTTGTCTGGAAGTTGATGGATGGTCTTTATTCACCATTCCAACAATCCTAAGCTGCAATCTTTCATCAATTGTTCTCTTTCATCGACCTCCAAGGAGATTCGCTACAGTGCCATGGGCTGTACATTTCTGGACAATGTTGCGCACAGTGGACACCAGAACATTAAGATCTCTGGAGTCAGACATGCGACCAGAAACTGTAGAAAAGAAAACCTGACCTCTGGTCTGGACATTCGCAATTTAATATCTTACAACTGCAAAATATGCTACTTTTCAAACTGAAAGTTTAGCATATTTGTATCAAGTACATACAGTAAGGTAATTTACCAAAACTGGAGCAGACAAAATCTGGAGCAGCTGTGCATGGCAACCATTCAGCTTCTCTCTTTCAATTTCAAATCTTAACTGAACCATCCGAATAGAGAAGCTGATTGGTTGCCATGCACAGCTTCTCCAGTTTTGATCCCCCCCCCCTCCCCCCAGTATTTCCAGGAATGATTGCATTGTTTACCTGCAAGTAATTTGCAATAAGAATTTTACATTAGTGTTATTGCATTAAATACAGGACATTTGCAAACTAGCCACTAGAGGGACATTTGACTCAGCCATTCTGTTGAACAACTGTTGCATTAAGATATCAGCCACACAAGGAGTACAATGCACCCAACCAGAAGCACAACCATGGTGCAGCACCTCATAGCCGGAGAAGAGCCTACGTATAAGCATGTATGGCTGCCATCATGTGCATTAATATTTACAAATTATGCATCGAAATAAGATTTTTAAATAAATAAAAAAACTGAAAAGACTTACAACTCCCTTTTCTAATTTGTACATAAACCCACCAGCTTAGATTACTTCATCCGCTAGTTTGTTAAAAAATGGTCATTAACTCCTTGCTGGAAGGGTTGCCATAAGCTTATCATTATAAGTGCTGCTCACAATTTTAAGCACCACTTGCAATTATCAGTTAATTTGCTATTTCCTAAGTGGCAATAATGAGCACCTCGAGCGGTCGGAACAACGTGTTATTATGCAGGGAAATTTCCACCTGCTGGAAATTTTCCCCCCGAGTGGGCCTGATTTTGATTCTTTCATCCTTCCGTCTGTTTAACAATGCAGTATGTATGGCACGTGTTATGCACAATTTAGGCCCCATTTACACACAATCGGCCTGCACGTACAGCTCCGTACTGCTGCGGGGCCGTACCAAGCAGCTGCCGGGAAGGACAGGTGCTCCGTGTGATTAGTAAGCACCCCTACTGCACGTCCGTAGGGGTGCGGGTGAGCGTATTCATACGCCGCCGGAATGGATCCTGTATGCGTCCCGGCCAGAAAACCCGCACCCCTACGGACCTGCAGTTGAGGTGAGCGTAGGGTGGAGTACGGCCGCGTAGCCCCATAGAGAAGGACGGGGGCTGCGTACTAATCACACGCAGCACCTGTCCTTCCCGGCAGCTGCTTGGTACGGCCCCGCACGCAGCACGGAGCTGTACGTGCAGGCCGATTCGTGTGTGAATGGGGCCTAAGGGATACAACGGCACCACTCCTTCTTGGGCATTGCTCAGGTGATATGCCACTTTGCTCTTAGTAGATCTTGCTACAAAGTTATAACAGGTAGCATCTTTAATAGCAACTCTCCCCTTCCTCTTACTACACAGTCCTGTAGTTGCAATCACAACACACCCTGTTATTAAAGTTACAACTTCAGATAGAAGCCACAGCCTGAGTAGAAAAGCCTATCCTTTACCCTGCTGCTGCAGAGAAGGACAATTGCAAAAGCCTGCCCCTTCCAGCATGCTGCAGAAGAAAAATCCTTGCTCTCTGTGTGCAAGCATTGGTCTCTTTGCAGAGGTCTAATAACCCCCTTGCAGAAAAAGTCCTTCAGCTTTCCAAGCTCTTGCTCCCCATTAATTGGACAACTCTGGTTCTAACTTATCAGAGGGCATGTCAGACCTCTGTAGAGACACCACTGCTTCCACACAGAGCGCAAGGATCTTTCCTCTGCAGCATGCTGGAAGGGCAGGCTTTTCCAAACAGGACGTTCCTGCTTTCTAAACAAAGCAAACTACACCTTTTGTTTTGAATTACCTGGAATGTATTTAGCTGATTTAAACTGAAGTTCAGTTGGGCTTTAAAATGAACTTTCTGCCAGGATATCGCATCCTCAGTAAACACAAACTTTAACCCTCTAAAACCCACCTCTTGGCCCTGCCTGTGTTGAAACTACTACTCACTGTGAAATATTTGCTCAACTTTCCTTTTTCCTGTAATACATTCCTAAGATCCAGATCCTTTTCTTCTTGTTAGCCTTTCCTTTTCAGCTTTGGCTGCACATCTAGCTAAAATCTTTTAAAGTAAACTTTAAGAGAAATATGGTAGACACCACTGCTTACCCACTGTATACTTCCTGTCTGGTATTGTCCGCAGAATAGGATGCGATAAAAAATCTCTCTCTAATGGAGTCCCAGATACCAGTAAAATCTGACAGCGGTTCTAACCCAGCCTCACTTTATCCAAAACTAAAAAAACAATTGGGTTGGACATGCACTTTTATTTACTGTATTCTCTTTGTATTCTAGATAAACAGTACTAACATCTCCAATGATTTTTTGATTCCCAAACCCAAGGGCTGTTATTTATTGCCAATACTTTTCAACAACCACGGACGGGGGAGGGCGCGGGTACAGCTGGCTCTGCCTCTAGATAGGCAGAGCCAGCTGTCACTCACGCAGCTGGGTGGATCCAGACAGAATTGTCGGGATCCATTCCGGCTGCGGCGTCTCAGTATAACGCGAGCTATAGGTCACGGGAGGACGCTAGTATACGTCCTCCCGTGACCCTTAAGAGACCCATGGGGAAAAACACTTACCCCATAGTTCTCTTTTAAGCTCTTTTTCATTTCAAGGTTCTGTTCTAGCATAACATCTTGTTTACTTCCTCAATTAATTAACTTCAAATTAACCTCTGGGCTTCTTCACCGCTTCTCTTAGGTGGTGTACCACAGGGTTCTGTTCTAGCTTATCTTATTCTTCACTTCTTCCAGTTGGTGTACCTCGAAGTTCTGCTTTAGCTTAAGCTCTTCTTCACTTCAAGGTTTTGTTCTAGCAAAACATCTTGTTTACTTCCTCACTTAATTAATGAACCTCAAATGAACCTCAGGGCTCTGGCTGTAAGCAAGTTCTTCTTCACAGCTTCTCTTAGTTGGTGTACCGCAGGGTTCTGTTCTACCTTAACCTCCTATTTACGTCCTCTGTCATGGTTCTTTTCTAGGTGTACACCAGGGTTCGGTTTTAGCATAACCTCTTCTTCCCTTCCTTTCTTAGTGACAATCTCATGACTCTTCTGTAGTGTAAGCTCTTCTTCACCTCCTCTCTTGGTGGGTGTACCTCAGGAACATGTCCTAGCCTAAACTCTATTTTACTTTTAATGGTCCTAGACTTCAGGGCTTTGTTCAATATTAAACCTTTTCTTTACTTTTTTTTCACTTCGCTTTTTGTAACCTTGGTGTTCTGGAACCTATTACATTTCTGCTTTTGGTAATTTAATCAGCTGATTTTCACACTGAGCGGTTTGTCGCGACATTTCCGGTCCAAAATTGTGCATATTTCCGTGCAATGTCGCTCAATGTTGCTTGTCCAATGCATTTCAAATGGAGCTGTTCACATGTCACAGCTCAATGTCGCCTGTAGCTCATCGCTCAAGTTTGTAGCTCGAACATGACCTATTTTTCGGCGGATGTCACGCGATTTGGCCCCAATAGACTCAATGGTGTCGCGCATTACCGGCGATATTGCACGACCTTGTCGCTCGATATCGCGCTACAGAAGGGTCTCTTTTGCCCAGCAATATGGAAGGAAAGAATGATGTCACATCAAGACCGCTGTTGATTGGTTACAGCCCAATGTAGCAGCGGCAAAGTCCCTCCCAAAAGTTGCGCTACGTAGCGCGACAAAATGTGCACTATCGTTCAATATCGCGCAATGTAGTTCAGTCCTGCTCGGAAAAACGCGCGATTCTCACTCAGTGTGAATGTCTAAACCACATATCCAGTAATTAAAGTCAACTGACATTAAACCTAACTTTTCACATGAGTGTAATGTCACATGTATTCTTGTGAGTGGGTAAAATAATCTTTTGCACTCCAAGCAGTCGCAGAGCACTTAGTCTCCAGTCTTTTTGCAACCGCAAATTTCACTACATTACATTGTCTGGAAGCTCAGATTACATAGAGAAAGCTCCTATGGCATCATGGAAGTTGCTTGTCCAATCTATGAAGCCAAGACAGGAGCTTCCACACATAAGACATTTTCTTAATGTGATGTGGCCATCTGTTTGTAGATTTTTTATTTGATGGTAAAACACCATGAGGCTGATTAAAAGAGTTAAGAAAATCCACTCAATATACTGTAATATAGCTTTCCACACAATTACACTAGCTATGAATACTAATGTTATCCTTTTAACACATACCTGCACTGTGCAGTACAGGATCGTAGAATAGTTGTCAAACCCCGGCTCCCATGCGATAGCTGCAGTGGTGCTGGTCACTTTAGTCACATTCACATTTGAAGGTGGTTGAGGCAGCCCTGAAAAGAGAAAGCATGTAAATGGTATGTCAGGTCAAACAGGATGCATTGGTCCCAAAAATATAGGATTTACTAAGTCTTAATAATAAAAAATAAAAATCACAGTAAAGGTTCATCTGATATTACAAAGGGGCTTCTTGCCCCTGCAGTTGTGCATGCCATGGCATTACATGTGGTTGTGACATGATGTAAATTGTAGCAAAAGGACAAGACTCCTTGGCTTACAGTGCTGGATAAAATGATGAAAATAATTCAACACCTGAGTTTTTTTTTTGCCGAGAAGCAGCTAGGAAACTAATACAAAAAAGCCAACAGGACCTGGTATTCCCAGGTGCTCCCACATACAAGTACTAACCAGGCCTCTGAGATCAGATGAGATTGGGCGCTTTCATGGTCATGTTGCCGTAGGTGCTTCTCTTTGCCTCCCACCAACCTCTTCAACTTAGGATTGCCCAGGTGGCGAGAAGCAGCTTGGAACCAAATACATTTTGTTTTTAGTTATACCATCTAAATCCCCAAAGATTATGGTGACCAGATCTCTCCCAGGAAAAAAATCATCTCATTTTTGTCCGTTAGTTTTCCACAGCTAGAAATGTGACCAAAGTCTTCCAGCTTTCAGAGAAATACATAGAGCAATATTTTAAATAACATATCTTCGACTGGGAAAAAAGTTATTTGAACTGGCCAGTTTCCAAAGCTGGCATTTTGTAGGAATTGCAGTGTTAGCCAAAACGACAGAGTGCTTATTTTAGATTAGTACAAATAAGCAAACAGAATGGCCAGGTAGTGGAGAAACATATAATTTAGGGATCCATCGCTAGAGGGATCACCAGCAGGGGGAAGGAGGTCCCTAGAGATTCCACTATACAGAGCTTTAGTTAGACCCCATTTAGAATACAGTGCTCAGTTCTGGAGACCTCACTTACAAAAAGATATGTAGAGCACAGAGCGAGTTCAGACACTGGCAACAAAAATTGTGCAACCTCAGAGGCAGTGGCGACTCTAGGAACAATATATAGGGGGGGCACATAAGATACCACAGTCAGATCTGGGGGGGCACTAATAATTTTCATTGCATGTCGCAATCGATGGGCGCCGAGAGCTGATTTAATTGCGGATGGCATCTGCGCCCTGCAGTTGCGACAGAAGCTGCATACAGCATGTGCACAGAGGGATTAAAAAACAAAACATATCAGGAAAGAATGGAGCTATTTAGCCTCCAAGAAAGAAGGAAAATGTGGGGCATTATTGAAACCTTGAAGTACAGCAACATGTATGTAAAGGCAAAACATTTTAATATTGGATAGATGGTATTCAAACCCTGCCAGATTTTTATTGAAGTCTATGTTCCTACTAGAACCCTCTGAATTTGTTCTGGTGACCATTATCTCCAGCACAAAAAGTGATGTTAGAGTGGTCACTGGAAACTGTCTAAGAGGAATTTTCTCTTCACTTTTAAGAGATTTTCTGTCCCTTCCTGTTGGGTTTCTGGGCAGGAAGTTAAAGTAAACCTCCCTGATGGGATGTGGACAGCATAAAATTGACCAGACAAGGGTATTAACCAATTCCTGCACTCTCCAAAACTGGGGGAAAATGTTTGGGCATACAACAGTGCCAAGAGAGAGGGAGGGAGAAGCAGCACAAAGCATCAATCAGGTGTTCTGCAGTGGAAGGAGCATATCAATAGGAGGAGAGAGCAGAATGCAGAGAAATTAACTCATCATCTGATGCCTGTCCTTTCAATGTCCAGTCAGAGGGTGGAGTGGGGAGAAGACCTGTAAGTGAAAGTGGAACTGAAGCAGGGAATGATCAGGTACCCTCCCCTAAGCAGGACTGTGCTGTATGGACATAAAATACATATACTGTGGCAGGTAAGACCCGATGTATTTCATCTATGTATTTAGTGGTTTGTCTGGGGTTTATCTTTTGGCCTGAAGGAGAAAAAAAAAAACTGTTAATTGGCAATATTTAGTGATCTCAACAGCCCATCACTATAGGTAAAGCAACACCTTCGATATACGGTACTGTGTAAACAAAAGAAACTGCTGCCAAGGAATATCAGCTCACCTCCACTCCAGCACTGGTGTTTGATCCTAACTTGCTTCACTTAAGTTGCAGCTTTTTCCAAAAGAAAAAGACTGCAGAGGGACTTCCAAGCACGGAGTTTCTTTATTTACATCAAATTCATACAAGCTACAGCATGACTTGGTGCTCCATAACGCATTTCACATGAACTGCTTAACCACTAGGCCTCTGGGTTTGTGATAGTTCTGTCTGTATGAGCCTGCATTCAGTCTCTGAATATTTTGTCCTTGGAATACTCTTTCTCTGCCGCCACTCCTGACCTCAGCCTGTCCCTGGAATACTCTCTGCCTGTTGCCACTCCTTACCTCAGCATCCAGTCCTGATATTATCATAAGCCCAAAAACTGGTTCGACTACTGGTTGGCGATTGCGCCACAACCCCACGTTTCACCTGCCTAACTGTTTTCCAGGGGATCAACCTTTATTTTCTAATATTGAAAATAGCTGTAAGCTATATTTTCAGCTCAGGCCGTTCTCCTTCTGCTCCATGGTCCAGTGGGTTTGCATGATCTTTTCACTGCTACAAGGGGATTCAAAGTCCTGGGCCTTCAGCCTGTCTGATGATATGGTTTTATACTCTGTTGATGCCTTATTTTTGGCCCATGGACTCCGAGTGATGATCCGTACTATACCCACACAACAGAGACCAACTTCAGAGCCCTCCACCAAGGGAGACGCACAGCAGAACAGTACTGCTCAGAATTACCCCTCTGGGAACCTGATTCCAGGTGAAGTGACCTAGCTTTGAGGAGGAGTTAGTTTAGATTAGCTTTGTGGATTCTATAAAATAATCCCTGGTGCATTATCTTGAGCCTAAGAGGTTGGGAGAAGCCATGCACCTATCCATTAGAAGGCGCTTGGAGGGGTCTGCATCCATGCTTCCTAGTCTTCTGCTGTTATCTCCTCATAAAGTCCTGGAGCCCCTTGCGCCATCTCTGGAGGAACCTATGCAAATCAGAGCTACCTGTGTTTTTCTTGAGGATAAAACTAGAGGAAGAACACTGGACCTTTGCCTATAACATGATAGTTGAGGGCACTTTAATTCTAAATGCCCTAACAACCCGGCAAACACCAAAGTCTAGGGGAAGGATCTGGGTCTACCCCTCTAGACTCTGTTGCTAGGTCCCATAAACCAATTAATGTTCCTGCTCAGCTTGCATTTGAGGCCTTATACCATCACCTCTCTATCTTTATAGACTCATGTTCTGCCAGTATCTTCTTGAAAAGGGATCTTGCGCTATATCTCCAGATTACTTTGGTTACCCAGAAGAACCCAGGCCTGGTTACCCTTCTTACTATACCCATCACCTTGATCATAGGAGCTTCTCATCAGGAATCCTTAAACTTTATCTTATAAAATCTCCCGCCTTCCCTCCCCCATCTTGGGGTACCCCGGGTTTCAGATGCATTCATGGACTGAACCTCAAGGAACATCATGTCCTGGTCCCGAAATTCTTCCAGAACTGTTCTGGCCAAACTGTCTTTTTCTGACCTGCCACCTTGTTATGCAGAGTTCAGTGACGTCCTCTCAGAAAAAGCTGCATTGGTTGTCCCTCCACACCGTTAGCAGGCTATCAACCGTCAGCCAAATACACTTCCCTCTAGTGGTAGAAGTTTTACTTTGTCCGAACCATAGACCCAAGCAATAAAGTTGTGCATACAGGAAACAATGGAAAATGGCTTCATTCATCCCCACCCCGCTGGAGCAGGTTTTTTTTCACAGAAAAAAAGGACAAGATTCTGAACAAGATTACTATTCCAAACAGGTATCCACTGCCCTTTTTACAGAACTCTTTAGACATGGATTTTCACCAAACTGGATTTGCAGGGGGCCCACAACATGATATACAGTAATTAGAGACGGTGATGAATGGAAGTTGGCCTTCAATACACTAGCAGGACACTACAAATACCTAGTTATGCCCTTTGGCTTAAGTAATGCACCTGCCTTCTTCCAGAAGTTTTTGAATGACATTCTCCGTGAGTTTCTGGGTCGCAGTTTCTTCTATTCATGCTAAATTCTTGATAAGAAAGTTTCACTATTCCCATCCTGAAAAGCTGATTCCCAAGGGTCCAGGAGGCCCCTCCTCAAGGAGTGGGGTGTCAGACAGCCTGTGTAGTTCTCAGACAGCCTTTGTTGCTACTGTCTGCCGCCAGTCTTGACATCAGCCTGTCCCTGGAACATTCTCCTTGTGTGCCGCCTGTCCTGACCTCAGCCTGTCCTTGGCAAATACTTGTGTCCTCCATCACCAGTCCCTACCTCTGCTTTGTACCTGGGGCCCACCTGCAACATTATTTAGTCAGACTATATAGTTTAAGTTCTGGGGCTATTGGAGTACCGGTAGGCACACTTGCCTTAAAATAAAGGCAGCTGCTATACATGAGGTAACTCGCCACTATTACTCCTACTATGTCTGCTTCCAGTCCTGATAGGTGCTTCCAGTCATGCCCTTGCTTTTATGACTTTGGTTAATAAAACAATCTTCCTTCTATAAAAGACCAGAGTTTTAATTTAAGCAACATTTTCATTTTATGTTTACTGGTTCCTATTAACAGTTCTTCTAGGTAAATTTGACTGAAGTATCATATTCCCCAGTACACACACACACACACACACACACACACACACACACACACACACACACACGTACAATACACCATGGGAAGCTCATGCGCCATGGTCACTTGGTAGCAAAGACATCATACATTTTCAGCTTTGTTAGATCTCTGCCAAGGGGATATCTACACGTGCTTGTGGTTGCACATATCAGTGGCTCACCCACTTTCTTTAGCCCTGACCTAGATTCTCTTTGTCTTCAGCTATAAGCGCACAGCTGAAGCATGGAGTTGCATAGCAAACAGCTTACCCATTGCTGGAAACCCTCTATTGTCAGACTTGCATTCCTTCTATAAAAT